CCGGAGGTAACTATATGACTGAGGAGAATCTCTTACAACGTCTTCCTTCCCTTCTGCAGCAGTATGTAGTATCTGTGTCTGGGGGTGCTCCAGACTTTGCATCCATGTCGCTGCACACACCTTCTGTAGCACCTCTTTATGGGCAGCGTAGTAGCAAGGCGTCTACAGATTTTGTTGACTTCACCGATCTCACTGATGTACATATATTTTTTAATTTAGGTTTCAAGTTCGGTTTACGTTTACTTGTTTCCGACATTAGTTTACTAATTGTTTTTTGTAGGTTGCTGCTTGTTACTTAAGGATCTCTGATCCAGCTGATTATATAGTGGCACATGGATTGGTTTTCCCACGTGCACCAGGAGATGTGGTGCACGGTGTTCCCCTCCTTCCTCATCAGGTTAAGGTCTCTGTGACCCTTGTGCTTCCTGGAATGGGTGAGTATACCATTCCTTGTCTGGCTGAGCATATAGAGACTGTCACCGATTGCGAGGGGGAGCTTCGTTGCATGGCCAAAGTCATTGGTGGGCTTTGGAGATGTAAGAAGTAAAATGAATTTAGTTCTTTTTTATTCAACATCATTTGGCTGTGTTTCAAATATCTTTTTTTTTGAAAATATTCGTAGCCCCCTTTGCACACGGCTCGACATGGCGACTTCTCATCAAGCAAATCTTGTCCTATTCTCAGCGTACGCCCCACTGCTCCTCCTAGCTCTCCCGTACAAGATGTTGTTGACCGGAGGTCATACGTCTCATTCGGGCCGAGGTGCAGGGAGTTGTGTCAGTGGCTGACACGCACATCAGATTTGCCTACCATCAGCGTCATTCTCGATCCCGAGTCTTAACTCTATCCGGAGGAGACGGAGCTTAGGATGCGTCCGGAGAATATACGTGAGTTCATGCGATGGGAGGAGGTCGATCAGACCATCATCATTGTTTTCTTGAGGTATGTCAAGCACTACGTATGAATAAATTACTATTGTAAATTATAATTATTTGTTATAATTGTAATTATTATTTACATGTGAAATTACTATATTGTTGCACGATCATATGATGGAGCACGGCATTGCGTCTGTCGGGTTGTTATGTCCGGAGAACATGGCGTACGTGGTAGATTTTGGAGATCGCCAGTATCTGGATAGAGCACTCGAGACCTATCAATCGCGACCATGGATACTTATGCCGTTGTATCTATCGATACCGTATGTTTTCTAAACCATTTCCAATATGTATTTCGGTTTTTTATTTTACATATAGTGACTAGCGCTTTTTCAATTGTAGGCATCATTGGGTGTTAGTTGTAATATGTTTGTTTGAAAACAAAGTATATTTCCTAAACTCAATCAAGGCGACCGGACGGCATAAGAAAATGAAGGTGAAGACTTTTGTCAACGAGTAAGTATTAAGAAATTCATTTCTTATTAATGAAAATCTTTATTTGTTAAGGTATTAATTTCTTATTGACTTGTTTTTTACATATATTAAAGGTCTTGGCGGTTACTTCGGGAACGACACATGCCTCAGCTTAAGGCTCGACCGAATTGAGTTGATGTTCCCGGAGTACCCCAACAAGTAGGGGACGTTGAGTGTGGTTATTATACCATGTTATTTTGTTGGCTCATCATCACTATGTGTGCACAATGTTCTTTACCGTTATCCGATGTAAGTTTATTTTAGTGTGTTTTTGAAAGTAATGAAGTGTTTATCATCATTTTCTTTTTCATAGATTATTAAACTTTATGTTGTATGTTGTTTTCGTATTGCAGGTGTTTCAGTCTACTTCGCCTTATCCTAGAGCCGAATTGGAAGAGATTAGAGAGTTTTGGGCAGGGGGTTTTCTCGATGAACTAGTGTAAGTTTTGTATTGTATTGTATAGTATTAGTTATATGTTACAAGAGTGTAGTTGTTTGACTCTTAGTTGTGATGTTAAAACTTAGTTTGTAAATGTTGATATTTATTTAGAATGTACAAGTAGTGATGGATGCAAAGCTTTACTTTTTTGGTTTAATTTGTTTTGTGGCATTTGGTTTTTGTGAATGTATTTGTGCGTTGTTGGTTTGTGTAGTTGTTGTGCTGATGGGTTGAATTTTTGTTGTTGTTGAACCTGTATATTTTGCACAGAATTCTGTGCAAAATTGAATATGTAGTGAATTGGAAGCAAACAAAATAAACCATTTAAAAAATATTATTTTGCATCAGTTATTTGCTAATAACCAATGCAAAAGCCTCTTTCCACAAATGGGGGGAGGGGCTATTGCATCAGTTATTACAAAATAACCGATGCAAAAGCCTCTACCCAGATTTGGCGCCGAATATGGGTAGGGGCTTTTGCATTGGTTTTAACAACCGATGCAAAAAGTTACCAGAGCATTTGCATCGCTGGCTTTTGCATCGGTTAAAAACCGATTTAAAGGGTCAAAATAACCGATTTAAAAAGTGTTTTTTGTAGTAGTGTTTGACTAAGCATATTTTAGACGTAGCATCTAGCTTTGCAACGGCCTCATAATCAGAACAAGTTAGTTCTCATCTATGTTTCCAGAAGAGTTGGGTCTATTATTGTTGATATAATTCAAACATGTAATCATAAGTTGGCCTCTAGAGCTCACCTATATTCAACAGGGTAGACCTAAGAAGAGTTGGAAGGAGGTGATTAGACAGAACTTAGGTCTCTTTGGCCTTATTGAGGATATAGTCTTAGATAGAAGTATTTGGTGAGATAGGATTAGAGTAGCTAGGTGGGTGCCCTTAGCTAAGAGGTGTTGTGTGCATTATATGCCTTTATGCTTAGTGTTGTTTACAATTTTCTTGCAATACTCTCGTTTCGTAGTTTTACGGTTTAGTTTTATTCTGTGTGCTTGGTAATTTATTGTGTTGTATCTCTGTTTTCCTTACTTTATGTATTATCTATTGTGAACCTTTTTGGTGCAGTTTGAGTTGGGGGGTCTCGATCATGGAAACAACCTCTCTACCTTCATGTAGGGGTAATGTTTGCGTAAACACACCCTCCCAGACCCTACTTTTGTGTGATCCAACATGGTTGTTGTTGTTGGTGTTGTTGTTGTGTATTTTAAGTCTTACTATTACCTTTGTCTATTAGTATTTGTCTAATTTTGACTTTTTGTAATCAATACTATTTAACTTTTGACCTATATACTTAAATAAAAATATATATGGTATATTTATTAGATAAAATAATATTTTGAAAATATTTTATAAAATAAATCAAATAAAATATTTTTATATCTATATCTAGTATCTCTTTTATTCAATTTTTGGTCAATATTAGCTAATTTTGGCTCAAAAAGTTAAAAGTAGGCAAATGTTCAAGAATGGATTCAATATATTTTATATTTCTACCTTATTTAGAATTATATACCATATAATCTCTATATATAGATTCTTCGGGAGTTTAGTTTTCACTGAGATCCATATTTTATCAAATTTTCACTTGCCAATCATAGCAAAAGAAAAGCGTACGAGCCTATGAGCTGATGTGTTAATTGTCAATACTCCGTAATTAAACTTATAAGAAATTGAACATAGAATATTATTAGAATGTAAGAAATTGAACATAGAATATTACGGAGTATTAGAATGTCTTCCCAATCATAGGCAAAGGATACTATAAGATCCTACCGGGTGAGGTGCGTGCTTAATTTGTCAATATTGGGCAATTAAACTCTTGAGAAATTGAAGATCCAAAAAGGAATCCAGCTATATACCATTCCAAAAAGTCATTTCATTGTTTCAAAGAATTTGACTCAAACGTTGTGTGTGTATAGGAAGTGTATAACAATAGACGTGCAAAGGAAAAAGAAACTATCAGGATCATAATCTTTTTTTTTTCTTTCTAACAGTTGAAAATGAAATCTTTTTTGGGATGAAGAAGACAAAGAAAATGTAGAATTTTTTTATGAGATGAAGTTATATGTGAGTGTTTCTCTTTACTAATAGTCGGTCAAAATTATCTATAATCATTTTTTAACTAATAAGTCAGCTGACAGTATGTGTGTGTTTCTCTGTGCTTATAAGCTGATCAAGACTATTTATAAGTTGTGTTTAACTTATAAGCCAGCAGATGACGTGTTTTTCTGTACTTATAAGCTGCTTATAAATCAGAAAAAATAAGTCAGTCTTACTTACTTATTTTTAAGTCTGCATTTTTGTTTTTCCGTTTTGATAAAAAATTACTAACAAAATTCCCAGTAGTATCCTTCATCTATTATGAATATGCCTAAATGACTTATACATCATTTAAGTTTTTTTCTACATGTAAGAATTTTTAACTTATAAACAGCTTATAAGTTACAAATTGCTTATAAAAAATAAGTCAATAAGCACCATCATAGAGAAACACTTACTATGTTTATGTATGATTATAACCCAGAAAAAATAAGTAAGTCCTAACTACGTATTTTTAAACTAGTTTTTTGTTTATCTGTTTTGACTAGATTATTTAAAAAGTTGTTCTTCATCATTTATGATCTATGAGTATTTCTAAATGACTTATTTATCATTTTATTTTCACAAAAAAAATTGACTTATAAGTAACTTATACTCCCTCCGTCCCGGAAAACATGAGAGTTCTGATTTTGAAAAGGGATTTAAGGGTAATGTATTTTGGTATTGAATTTTCAAAAATGTCCTTTGATGTGATGGGTAAAAGTATGATATGATGATAGATTATTAGTAAAAAGGTATAATGTGATAGGTGAGGTATGAAAAAGTAAAGGGTAAAAGTGACTTTTTAATAGAAATGAGAAGTGTTTTTTAGGACGGATGAAAAAAGAAACGATCAACTAATAAGTATCAGCACATAGAAACACTTCCGTGCCTACACCAACATTATTATTTTTGGGAGCAATTCACAAGGAAGATTGCAAATAAGTCAAATAAATTTGCTTTGAGTGTTCACCTTGGAGTTAATTTTATTTTAATTTTAAATTCCAAGCAGTAATAATAGTGGTATAAATAAGTCACAATTCAATTTCATTACTCAACTGCTGTCTCCTCCTGTACATAGAGGTGCCATTTCCTATATATTCTTCATCTTCTTTAATTTCTTCTCCCAAAGCTCAAGAAGAATGGAGATGAACATGGGAACCAAAGGTGACCGCCGCCAGTCGGCGCCGGTAAAGGGCTTGAGGCTGTTCTCCGCCGCCCAAGTGGTGTTGCGCCTGGCGGCCACCGCCGTTACGTTGGCCGCCACCTGGGCTGTTCTCACCAGCAACCAAACGGCCACCGTTTACGGAATCCAATTCGAAGCGCGTTACAGTTATACGCCAATCTTGAAGTAATTAACTTTGTTTATTTATTTACTCCGGTATATTTAAAGCTATCTAGCTGATTAATTAACCATTTTTGGGGCCGGGGGGCGAAAACGAACAATAAAATGGCGACACAGGTTCTTCTTGATCGCGAATATCGTGGGCTGTGGATTCTCTTTTCTGTCTGTATTTGTGGCTTTCGTCCTCGACAAGATGGCTGATAACACAAGCAACTATTTCTCCATCTTTGTGCTTGATTTGGTACGTATGCTAATACCTCTCTCTAGTACCATATATCCTCTCCAATACTTATTTTTCAAATAATAGAATATTCATTTTTCGAGTAATTGAATACTCGTATTTACGAATATAATTGAATTTTAGAACATGCAATGAGTACTTTGATACTAAAAAATGAGTATTCAGTTTCATAATGGATGTACTATACGACCGATCGTACGGTATATATAGCGCTACTCTTCTTAATTATTATCAACTTGGTATATATTTATATGCATATGATTATATATCATTATGTTTTAATTAATTTCGAATGAATAACTAGTAAGTTAGTCACAATAAATTAAGGTACCCATTTTTTTTTTAAAGGTACCCATTTTATAATAAGCACTCTTATTGAAAGGTTAAACTAACACGTATACGTACGTACATTAATAAGCTAAGTTGCCAAACCCCCCAAAGGATCGGATCCCTGCAGCCCAGCAGGTAATAAGCATATAATGGATAGATAATATGCTTACATTGATCTTTCCCATGTAGTTAGTCGAACTCGTCTCCACTGATTTTGTGGAGTCAGGATAATTCTCTAGTAACAAGTCAAATTTGTATTGGGTTTATTAGCCAATACCGGTCCCAAAAATTCCATGGCCCGGCACCAAACCGGAAAAAAATATCCTTAACCCCGACTATTTACATGATAATTAAAATATATTTTTTTCTATTTTTATTGATGATAATAATTTTTTGGTGTAAGTATTCATATTTATTTTAAATAAAAATAATAGTTTTTATTTATTTATTTATTGAACTATTTTTAAAAAGTTCATAAAATAAGTATACTATATCATTGTGTTTTTTTCTCTAAAAAATTAGGAGTTTTATTGAGATCAACATGAAATATACTCCCTGCGTTCCTAAATGATTTACACATTTTACAATTCAAAAATCACTGAAACTTTTGTTTATCTTTACTATTTCATTAATTATTTGATAAACTAAAATATTTTTGTTAACTCTTGTTCTGTAGAACTTTTGATGTACTTTATAAATATGTAAGTTTATTTTTTATTTAAATACAATTTTTAAATAAAATGAATTGAAAAAAAATTGAAATTTTATTTCATTTTACATAAAGGACAAATGATTTAGGGATGAAGGGTGTATGATGCTATGTCCGAATTTGGAAACAATAAGGCTAGTAGTTCAAAGGATAGTTCAATCTCCACCTATAGAATTTCATTTGTTTTAAAATAGTGAAAACAAGATTTGTTTAAAGAATATAAAAACATTGGGCCCCTTGAATAAATGTGCTCAATCTGATTGAGCTGCTCGGCCCATCCCGGACGGCCCTCGGATTAGCCTCTTAGGAGCATTAGATATATTTAATTATTTATACTCCCTTAATAAATCAAGCCTTAAGTGGCCAGATAAAAATAAATCATGCTGGAGAGACTACCTTATTTTCACGTTAAATATAGAATCAAGTAATGAGGTGACATCATTACATATTGTGATCAATTTTGTATCAAAAGTAAACAAAAAAAAATTGATAAATCTCAACCATTTGAATAACAAGTACTGTAAAGCATCGGATTATTGACTTTTGAAATGAATGGACAAAGCGTCTTATACTCCCTCCGTCCCAAAAAGATTTACAGGTTTTGACTAAAGTTGAAATTAAGGGGGAGATAATTTTGTGTTGACTTTCCAAAAATATCCTTGATGTGATAAGTAAAAGTAGGATGTTATGTGTAGATTATTAGAAAAAAGGTATGATGTGATAGGTAGGGTTTGAAAAAGTAAGGGGTAAAAGTGGTTTTTTAATAGAAATGGGTAGGAGATTGTGGGATGCAATTTTTTTTAAAGGTGTAAATCTTTTTGGGACGGAGGGAGTATTTTTCTTCGCATAACGTTTTTAGAGGAGATGGCGGTGAGACAATAAGCCGTGTGATGGCAATCGGGTCAACCGGATCGGTTTTAGGTTGGATTTTTTCGGTTCGGATATCTTTCGGTTATATGTTATAATCGGTTCGGATCGAATCGATTAAATTTCGGTTCGGATTTGATTCGGTTCTATACATTTTTCGGTTCGGTTTCGAATCGGTTCAGATACGGTTCGGTTATAAATCGGTTCGGATACAATTTGAAACAAATATATTTCATTTTCGGGTCTAGTTCGGTTCGGATATATTTCGGTTTCGGATAAAATATATTTTAGATATATATTATTTTCTAATTAAAATTTAACTAGCCATTTTTCTTTTTATGTTTTATCACATTTATCAATCTATCATCAATTGAATACCTCATATTATTTTATATTTTTTTCTAATTATATTATCTCTACCCTAAATAATCTTCCCTTTTTGACTTTTTAGTCATACATTTTACAAATTTGGACTACCAATTATGAAAACATATATATTTAATTATGATACAAAATTTAATATAATTAAATTGATTTTAAAATTTAGTTTTGAAATATCAAATTTTTCTCACATCTACTAATATACTTATGTTTCTAAATAAAAAGATAAAAGATAAACTCTAATAGTGTTATGTTCCATTTGAATACAATTTGGTAAAAAATGAGTAAAATTGGGTGAAATTAAGTGAATTTTATTCAATTGAGTGCAGAATTTAAAAATTATTGAGTGTATTTGGTTGAAAATAGATAAAATTAAATTTAATAGAGTCAAATATAAATAATTTTACAGCTAAATATAATGGTGTAGATCAAATTTAAAAAATGATATAACACTAAATGCTGCCATTAGAGAATCTTTTCAACATGCTAACACTAGCATCTAATTTTATTGACTAATATTGAGTGAATTTGTTTGAAACTAATCAAATTAACTCTCAAATCAATAAAATTTATTTTAATGGGATGAAATTAGGATAAAATCTAGTTAATTATTCCATACAATTCATCATATAATCCTTTCGTCCCTAAAAGAATATCACACTTCACAATTTAAAAATTAAAGAAATTTTATTTGTTTGTGCGTTTTCATTTATATGTATAACTTATCTTTAATTTCTACATATAATAAATTTAAGGCATGAAATTTTGTACTTTTTTCCAAGAAGATAATCCATTTTATGAGGGAATGAACAAGTAATGTGATTATTTCAAATGGTAAAATAAAAGTAAAAATTTAAAAATATAATATACTTATTGAAAGGCAAACATAGTTCCGAATTGATCGATTTTAGTTCTAATCGGGTTCGGATATTATCGGTTTTGGATCTAATTGGTTTTGGGTTTTATCGGTTTCGAGTATTATCAATTTCGGATCTAATCGGTTTCAGGTTTAATCGTTTCGGATATTATCGGTTTCGGATTTAAATCGGATATGAATTATTTAGTTAGGTTACAGTTCGATTCGGATCATTTCAGGTTTTCTAGATCGAATCTTCATTTTTCAAGTCATTTCGATTTCAGTTTCGAATATTTCAGTTCGGGTAATCAGTTCCGACCTGTTTTGCCAGGTCTAGTGATGGTTAGTTCATAAGTCTTCATAACGACAAATACAAAGTGCATGTACCAAAATAGTGGTATGGCACGCACGGTATCAGCTTTTACCAAAACTTTGATAAATGTTAATAGGATATTGTTAAATCAAACTCAAAATTAAATAATTACTTCTTGCGTGTTAAAACATTAAATACATTCCGTGATACATAATTATGTTAGGGTTTTATTTCCAAAAAATTATATGCACTTTAATAATTTTAAAAACAACATTACTTAACGAGGCTTTTCTCATGTGGAATCACGCTTTCTCATTTTGGTTACCTTTTTTTGCGTAATGATTTGATTTTGAAAAGTGTGTTTCGTAATCGACATTTGAAATCAACTTTACAAGTGATTGGTCAAGTTTGGTTCTTGATGTTTATGTTTTCCGGAATATCGTTGTTAAAACTATTGCACTGTATAATATAGAAAGAAGAATAACACTAGTATATATTGAAAAAAGAAGAAGTCCTACCCAGCTTAAGTTTGTTTTAGAATGTGGATCTTGACTTTATATTCAAGTGATTAATTTTATCTGATACTCTGTCCGTTGTTCTCGGTCCACCAAAACTCTAACATGGTATCGGAGCATGTCTGATCATGGTTCGATTCTTCCTGGTTGTTGGGCGTGCATTAAGCAAAAAATAAGCTACCCGTCCGTGGTTTGAGTTGAGTTGGCCATACGAGATTGAGATGCCACCGCCCGTTGTATGACTAATTATAAAAGATTGAGATGCTAGATCCGTTTGTCCAAGTGCTAACTAGGTCAAGCTAGTTACCACTTGAAGGAGAGTGTTGAAGTTCTCATATCGAAAAATAAAGAAGAATACCACTAGCATATATACCCGAGCGGTTAATTTTATCGGACATTCTGCTTTTTGTTCTCGACCCACTGGAATTTAAAGAGTATATCTCGAAGCATACTTTCTCGGGGAAAAGATAAAACTAGGAGTAAAACATTGAACATATACCGAAATAGAACTTCCATGTTTTTAGTCTCGAAATAGGAGTTAAAATGCATTTACATTACCAAACATGATCATGTACATTCCCAAAAAGTATAGTAATGTGCACATGTACAGTGCCACATTACCACCATATTCCCACAGTGCAAACTCTTATTTCGAGAATAAAAACATGAAACTCCTATTTTAGTACTTTTCTATGTTTTAGTCCTATTTAGGTGATTTCTCTACTTTCCCTACATTTGAATACACAATGAATCAAAGCAACACTTAAATAATGTAGTGTATTCCCTACATTTGAATACACAATGAATCAAAACAATGAATCAAAACAATAAAATCAAATAATGATGGAGTTTGAAACATTTATTTATAATGTTTTTAACTTAATAAAATTTATATAAGTTTTTGAATAATAACATAATGAAGCATCAGTAGTGCACGTATTTAGTTGACGGGTATATTTAGTGTTTTAACGGGTGTGACTATTTTCACCCTTTATAAAAACATAATATTTTAAAACTACTTTTCAAAAGAGAACAATTGTTATTATATATATATATATATATCTAAATTTAATAGATTATTTTTTCTACATATCAAGATCTTTTTGAGATGGAGGGAGTTAAAAACTTCATAAGTCACAAGACGCAAAATTAATGTACCAATTTGGATTCTATTGATTGATAATCTACCCAAAGTTTAGACATTGTCCTAAAAGTGTTTTTTGGATGATAATTATTGTCCGAACTGTTTTTTTTAATATAAATATGCTGTGAGTATAAATGTAAAGTGCACTTATATTTAGGGTGAGCATGGTACATATTTTACTCGTATTGATATCGTATGAAATATTTCAGTTCAATATGAAATTTTACGTCACCGATCTTGAAATTCTGATTTGGTATGGTTCGAGATAATTCCATATCAGATTCGGTAGATTCAGTATAGATGAGGATAAAATATAAAAGCACCGAATTTAAACATTAAAATGTGACAAAACCATATATACTTTTGATAAAGCGAAAGTATATTTAAATAAAGAAACATAAAAGAATTAAATGCTAAAAAATAAAAAATTAAATGCAAGAAATTCTCATGAAACTTAATTTATTTTTCACATACTAAAGTGAACGGATGATAACAAAATAATATTTTAAATGTGTGTTAATATTTTTAAATTCATTTACAAAAAATTGAAACCCAAATAAAAGTACAATGTACACGTAAAAAAAATTGAACCAAATCAAAAATATAAACCTATTACTTAATGAAAACCGAACGTTCAACTCGGTACGGTACGGTTCGATATTTTAGGGGTAGTTATTTGGTTCTGTATTTTTCGATTGGACTTTCATAAAAGTTTCCGGTATCGGTTGAGTACCTGCCCACCCATTCTTATAATGCCTTTACTATATATGCATTGCATGCAGATTGTGATGGCGTTACTTCTTTCGGGGTGTGCAGCAGCATCGGCAATAGGATACGTTGGGAAATATGGGGAATCACACTCTGGTTGGATGGCCATATGTGACAACGTTACCAAGTTCTGTCACAAACTAACCCTTAGTTTGGTACTCTCTTACCTTGCAGTCATCTTCTACCTATGCCTCACAATCCTCTCTGCAAACCGATCCCGAAAGATCTACGCCTGACTTGTTCAATTGTTTTCCATTAAAAAACAACAAAAAATAAATGTTATGCCATAAAAATGCGGTGCCCCATGTACAACAGTGTAGCTTGAATTCGGTGTGATCAGTTGTGAGTTCAATTATTGTGTCACACTATTTATACTTAATTCATTCATATATACTACTAGGGCTGTTCAAGATTATCCGACCCGAAAAATCCGTCCATGATCCGCTCTGATTCGATCCGAAAAATGGGTATCTGATCCAATATTTTTCATTTTCAGATATTCGGATCGAGTATCTGAAAAGATTGGATAGGGTACTGATTTTAATTTTAGATCTTTTCGGGATATTTGGATATCCAAAGAATTTTTAAAAACGTGTTACTTTTACCTACTAACCCTAATTCTCATCCAATCCGAATCGGGTATCCAAAAAAATGGATCGGGTACGGATTTAAATTTAAGATTTTTTTGGATAATTGGATATCCGAAGTATTTTTTAAAATGTTTTCCTTTTACCCACTAACTGTAATTCTCGTCCAATCCGCAGCTTCAGACTTCTTCATTCTTTTACGTTCCAGAACTCATTCGGACATTAAGACATAGAAATCAATCTTTAACGATAATCATTCATACTTCATTCTTTTACTACAAATTTTAGAATTTATTCGCTCATTCCTATTAGCCAAATCGCAGAGACGCCCACGAGAAATTTCTCAGTCTTCCTTCTCGGCGACTTCGAGAAATCTCTCTGTTTGGCAACTTCGAGATGGACATGACCTCATCCCCTTTTACCAAATCTTTGTTGAATTTGGTAGTGATTGTGGGTTGGTTTCGTCATTTTACTATATTTTTGTAAATTATGTTTAAAAAGTTAAACTTTTTAAGATATTTCATTGATCCGATCTGAAAATCGGATTCGAATTTCGGATATCCAAATATTTTCCATTCGAGTATGGAATGAGTTTTACTTGATCCAAAACTTTTGGATATCTGACATTACGGATTGAATCGAATCGATTAAATTGAACACCGGCCCCCTCTATACTACCCATGCTCAGAGGTTTAATTATCTTATTATGACAATACCTATCAACTACTTCATCCGTTCTAAAAAACACTTCCTCTTTTATTTTTTCTATTTGTAACAAAATACCTCCATTCTTTTTATTAAAAAACCACTTTTACCCTTACTTTTTCATAACCTACGTATCACATCATAGTTTTTCTCTAAATCTATCCATCACATCTTACTTTTACCAATCACATCAAGAGAAAAATTGGAAGTAAACTACTTTGGTTTTGACTTTGGGGAAAAATAAGGAAAGCATAATTTTGGTTGACTTTCCAATTTTGCCCCTGAGGATGAGGCTATGATAATAAGGATATATTTCCCATTTGACATCAGCGTTAGAAGTTAGCGTTAGCATTTTGAAAAAGTCATCTGGCAGCAGCCTTTAGCGATGCGTTTTCAGAATTAATCGACACCATTAAAATTTTATCCAAAATACGACTAACGCTAATAGAACACGTTGTTTCCAAACAAGGCTAGGTCATATATCATTAATGTGTTTGGGTGCTAATAACTGTTAGAGTCTATCCCATATCGTCATAAGTTGAATAGAAAAGTTATTGGTATATAAGCTCTTGAGTTGAACTATATAATCGAATAGATTCAATCTTTTAATATGGTTCAGTCCAGGTGTCTTTTAAGAAGAAGAAAAAACATAAAGATTTTCCATGTGTTACCCTTGATATGATGTGATAAAGTGGATCGTGTAGATGAAAAATAAGGATATAATGAAACATTCATTAAAAGTTTTTACCAAAATACGAAATGGGAAAGAAATTTATGGAAGACCCAAAAAGGAAAGTAGGAAAGAAATTAATTAACGGAGGCAATAGTTATGTATATATTAACACTTTCTTGTTATATTAAAAAATGAATGAATGTATGCAGATAATATATCTACATTCATTTATTTTTCAATGTATCAAGAAAATTACTTCATATAAAAGACGATTAGTAATGAATGAAAGGAGTACACTCTAAGAGCACCGGCAATGGCAAGTAAAGAAATGGAATGCCACACGTTGACGTGGCATATTTCAACCAATAAAAGCATATCCAGTCAGCGTGTGGCAAGTGAGTGGAGTGGCATCTCGTACAATTGCAAGTCATTATTTTTATCAATTTTTATAATTTTTTAATGCATTTTAATTATTAAAAATAATTTCATTATCTTTTTTAAATAGATTTACTTTTTAAAAAAAACTTATTTCTTTTACAAAAAAACAAAAAAATACTGAAAGCATGTGATTTTAGACTGATTTGTGTTGATTAATAAATTTTAGAGTCTAGACACTTGTAGAAGGGCCGAATTGGAAGTATGATTGAAGATTTGAGGTCAATCTGAAATTTCAAAAAAATTTACCCTAATTTGTGACCCGACCCAGTCCTTTCTTCCTTCGTCCTTCGGCTCCAGTAGCAAAAACAAACACCGGCGACGGCGGCGAGCACCCCAGCGACGGCGGCGAGCACCCCGGCGACGGCGGCAAGCACTCCAGCGACGAGCAGACCATTGACGAACTCCAGCAGCGAAAACTCCAGCAACCCACAAAAAAATATACTTGAAAGTGCCTCGCGCCTCACACGCTTGGCGTGGAGGAAGGCTAAAGCCTCGCGAGGCAAGTTACGGAATAAGGTGACGTGGCGTAGCGAGTGGAGGATTTGCCTCGCCGCTGCGCATGCTCTAATACAAAGAAATATTTGCACTAAATAGCACTAAAACTTAAGTCATTTTCCTAAATAGCACTTAAATTGTTTTATTCCCTAAATAGCATATAATAATGTCCATAATGTCCAGTGATGACAAATATTTACTTGGATAATGACTAATGCATAATGACTAAAAGTGTTGCATTGGGAAGAAAAACACATGTGGTGCTATTTAGGGAAAGTCATTATATTTTAGTGTTATTTAAGTAAATTCCTCTAATACAAATAACTAGTATTTCTACCCGTGTGACGAACGGGGTTGAACGAAATTGTTTTTTATTTTACAATGTAGATTCTGAAAATGAATTGATTTTTATGGGGCATATTATTTAAATTAAAAATTTTTAATTCATCTCCCCGTATAAATTTAAAAAAAATATTAATACAAAAAATATTAGTGATCTGATGATTTTTTTCCCTTGCATTAATTTTAAAAAACCTAACTTAATGACCTTATAATTCTATGATTACAAAACATAATTCTTCTCCACCGTTTTAATTAAGATTAGCAGAAAAAATGATTCCAAGTACACACCTACCCCCCGCAATGATTTTGAAATGTTATTCTTTACTCCCGCATTATGAAAAATAAAATCTTAAATTAGTGATCCTAAATCTCTATGATTAAAATTTTTAATTTAAAAAAAATTAAAGTTTAGTTTTTCTTCTCCCCCGCATGGATTTAAAAAATTATTAAAAAATATTATTGCTCCAATGGTAGTGAAAGAAAAGTGAGAATGATTAATAGGAAGTATATAAGTAAAATACATGATATGAATCAAAATAAAACCCTTTATGTTTTCATATCCAACATATAATACCAAAAAATTACAACACAATGCTGATATATAGTGTCACATTGTCACACTGCAATCATACTATTTTGAGAAAAATATAAGCCACTTTTATTATATATGGTAAAAGACAATATTAATTGATTTTTTAAGGGAAAATTCAAAAAATACTTGGCCAATTTTTTCTTTTTTATTTTTAAAATGAAAAATCATTCAAGCCCGTGATAGTATTCTGGTCAATAGACAAAATGTGTTATCAAAATATAAATAATTACAAATTCGCTATTGTATTTCTCTTTGATGTGGTTGTAACTTAGTCTCGACCATATTAACTATTGCATCTTAAATTTTTTGTTCACTTTTTCTTGCTTAATTAGTTATCCATGCGCCTAGATCTTCATTGTCATAGATTTTCTGCTGCTCCACTCCACAGCTTGATCTTCTATATCACAATCTTCTTAGCATAAATCTGTGACGTCTCTTAGAATACTATCCTATGAAATTTCTATGTATGATTATGTAAATGAAAACATAGGAAGTAAGTCCTCTCTCATTCAAATTTTCTTATTTTTATGCAGAAATATAGTGAATTTTAACACAATATAAGTATATACTGAGTAAATTCTAAGTTATAGCATACAAAAAATTGTAAGTTACATTACAAAGTTATTTTTATTAAAATAATAAATCGAGTTACCAAGATAAAGTGAAAAGGTCATATTGAATCTTTTGTGTAATTTATTTATTTTAAATATTCAATCATTTAAAAAATAGTCAAATTGTATGAAAATACTTTTAAGTAATATAATTTAAGTATGGATTAAGGTCATGTTCTCTTCACCTGATCTGATGATTGGTTCTGATCTGATTAGAATACGTTCTAATCTGAATGTAGTTATGTTTAAAGCTATTTCTGATCTGATCTAATCTTATTTTATTTGGTCTGATCTGATCTAATTCTGGTAAGAATAAGTAATACGTAAAAAAATTAGTTGAGGAGAACATGACCTAAGTCAACCTCATAATAAACGTATTAATCCATTTCTCTAAAAGTAAGGTATATAATCATGACACGTCCCATTCTCTTACAAAATATAGTCTTAAGTATCTTAGTCACCTATTTATAAATTATAAACTTATTTGATTATTCTCAAAATAGTCCTTTCTAATAAAGTATTTTCCCAAATCAGCTTTATTAAGGTATTTTCTAAGAATTATGTTAAATTCTTAGAACATATATAATTATGAATTCTTTGTTCATCTTATTTGTTTTGTTAGAAACAAAAATTATTTTGATAGTCACAAATATGAATCTAAAATTTTAAGAAAAGGATTATTATTTTGATTATAAATAAATTAGAAAATGGATTTTAATTTTCACTGATTATTTTAGAACTTGAATTTAAAATTTTAAACTATGATTTTGATTATTTTAAAAGTTGATTAAACAAATATTTGTTAGTCACAAATATGTATTTCTATTTTTTACTCAATTGCATAAAATTTCATTAAGGTTCTTAATTCTTCCATA